GATGTATTTTTATCAAAAAAAAAAAAAAAAAAATTGGGTGAAAATCGTACTACTATGCACAAGTTTCAAACTCGTTTTTTTCTGACATCACTAAAGCTAAAAACTGGGTAAAGCTTCTATTCAAGCGGGAGCTCGCCAACGGTTATGATACTGATTCCAGTTTTTGTAGTGATGTGGATAGGCAAACGATGGGTAGACAAGGCGGCGACCGTACAAGAAATAAAATTATAGTTTAAAAAACTAAAAACTCGCCTTTATTACAATCTGAACTAAAAAGTAAAAAATAATTTATAGAAATACAGATTTCGTTTAAGGGGAATAGAAAGTTCCCTAACTTGATTTAATTAAACTTTTAAAACTAACCTAAAATAGGTTTTAAGTACTTGACAGTAAAATTAATTTTACCGGAAAACAAAAAGTGGGGTGCCGATATCAATTGTTTTGAACTTTTTATTTTCGGTTTAGTAATATTGAATATTGTCAATAGCAAGACTATAAAATCTAAGAAGCACAATCGCAAAGAATTTCGAAATTTATTTTTACTGACAATGAAGTATCTCTGCGCACCACCTTCCTCAGTGAACTCAGAAACTGTGTTTAGTGTAGTGGTCTGAAACTATCGATGGCACTAACGATACTATCGATGGTTTTTGACTATCGTACCGCCACCGATAGTTTTCAATACTATCGATAGTTTTGGTTTTTCTTACATTAGCCGTGTTTTATCGCTTATACTCTGCCGGAACAAAGTATTAGAACAGCAAATTTTTCACAATATATGCAACAATTTTCATTATAATATTTTTCCGCTAATTTCGTATAAAAATATGGTTCCTTCTACAACAAAAACATAAAAATATAATTCCTAAACTTTGTGCAAAACTCGTGAAATTTTCATGAAAATGTTAACTTTTTAATCAGATTTTTTAGAATTTTTTTGAGTATGCAGATTTGTAGCCCAATCAATTTTTGTTATAATAAAGTGCAAATTTTAAGTAGCTAGGAATTACCGTTGATTTTTGGCAATTTTTTTCACGCAGTCTCTTCCATACAAAAATGATTTTTCGAAAATTCTTTATATGGAACAAAAAAAATTCTCAAAAATCAACGCGATTTTTTACTAACTCCGAACTTGGATTTTTTTACTATTATCGAGAGTTATCGATGGTTTCTAAAAAACTATCGCATACTATCGATAGTGTCGACTATAGATAGTTTCAGACCACTACTTTAGTGCTTCCGGTAGCATTTATGATTAAAATAGAAATATATTTTTGCCCGATAATTCTGAAATGCTTATTTTTATAATGACTTTAATTACTAGCGGTATCTAACATTAAATTGGATTATAAAAATACAAAAAAATAAAAAAATTTCTGTACTAGACTTTTAAATTGAATGTTCTATAATCGAAATCCGGAAATCTTCGTATAACAGAAAAACGGCCGGATAAGCCAGATTCCGAATATCTACCGGATACCCTGCACATCCCTAACCACAATACTCGTATATTTCTGTGTTCGTATGGAAAAGTAGCTTATGTCGAAAGGCTGGCTTTAGTATAATGCGGCATTCCCTTTATTCTTTAAACGACAAGGAATTTTTTGATGAGACTTAAGAATATTGACTTGCTAGTCTCGGAACTATTTTTTGCACGTTTATTTGCCAAAAGTTGTTCAACGGCTCAGAGCCAGTAAGTGATTCGCAATCGTATGCTGCGAATGCCGATTTATACTAAAGCCAGCCTTTCGAAATAAGCTACTCTTCCATACGAACACAGATTTATTTGTTGAGAGCTGGAAACCAAGGTTTAGTTAGAGCTCATTTTACCATCCCCTTACCCAATATAAAAAGTACGTGTTTTATAAACGAAATAGGTGCTGATTAGGGCTGTGCGATTAATTGATTACTCAAAATTTTGGTTAATCATAATTCCAGTTACTCAATTAATCGATTAATTTAAATTTTTAATTAATCAAGAAGTAAATTTACTCGAGTAATTAAGCTTTAGATTAATCAAAAATCATTTTACTTGAATAATCGAGTTTTTGATTAATCATACCTTTGAATAAAACGGTTAATCACATATTAAAAAGAACATTTGAATGCACCATATACGTATAGTATATAAAGACAGTGCCATTTCGTTTCAGATGATTTTCTATAGCAATCCAAAGAAATAGTAAAATACCTTTTTTATGTTTAAACCACAGCATTTAATATAAAAATTATTAAAATTTTAATTTCATATAACAAGATGTTTTCAAGAGAAGAACATTAATATAATCCTTTATTTTCCGACAAAAAAATCAAAAAGCTCGCATTTTCAGCCGATAAACAACTCCGTTCGGCGGTTATAATATCACCTGCTGTGGAAAACACACGCTCGGAAGGAACACTTGTAGCAGGAATAGCCAAAAACTGGCGTGCAATTCTATCTACTTATATTTGGATAACGATTGCTATTATCGCGCCACCAAATGAGGGGATTTATATGTATTGGTGATTCTGCTTCATGCATGTAATTCTGCAATTCTTCGAACCGGTTATATCCTGTTTGTTGTCTTGGGTTTTTTGTTCCAAAAAACAGAAAATTTAGTGCGGACTCCTCGGTCGTTGGTGTTGATTGTTCTTCTTCTCTGATATTTTCACATTCCAACATACGGGTTAGCTTCTCTAACACACTGCTTCGGAGCTCGTCACTTTCGAAAGCTAAATTTTTGTATCGAGGATAAAGAATTTCAGCTAGTAGCGCGCATGTGGGTTCGGAATTGGCCGTAGAAGTTTTATTTAAAAACCGATCTTGAAGCTCTCGAACCGCCTGGTAGTGCTATGTTTAAAAAATGTTTAAATCCGGATTTTTCTGTAAAATTCAGAGGAAGCATGTCCTGTGCGATCATTTTGTAAAGAGCCTCGTTAATCACCTTTACCGTTTGCGGGTTTTGTGATTTAGTACCCACAAGCTTTGTGTTATGGCAGGACAAACTTGTTTCTGCTTCAAAACTTGTAGAATCTACATCGGTAATATTCCAATCTGCTTCGAGAAGCTCCTCACTGCTGTTACATTCTCTGCTTGGAAATATTTAAGATACATTCATAATATAATTCATTTAAACATTTTATGTAAGTATATTACATTTCTGGCCTTTCTTTCCTCAAAGCGATGTTATGCACACGAGTGATATGGTAAATCAAGGAACTAGAAGTTCCTTGATACTTAAGCCATTCGTTGCATCTTCGACACTTTGCCCACTCCCGGTCGGCTATCACATCAAAATAGTTTTTTATTTTATAATTTTTGATGCTTGGCTTTTGAAGCATGTTTTTTTATATTTTTTTTACAATTATTTAGCAGCAAACTTTATGTAGACAAATGAACAAAATGAACAGTTTTTTGAATAATCATTTTTTAAATTACTCATATAATACTCGTTTTGAGTAATCAAAATTTTGATTAATCTAATAATTGAGTAATTGAGCAATTGATTATTCAACTAATCAAATAAACGCACAGCCCTAGTGCTGATACAATATCAGCAACAAATAAAAAAATTGTTAATATAAAAAACGGTTGTAGTAAATTTTTTAATCAAATAGCAAATTCGATGACAAAATCAAGAAACCCTCCCGGCCTCTATGTTCGATAGTGACTATTTACCAAAACGGTTGCAACAACAATAGCTAGATGTCGTCTTTCGTTTGCTTTTCGGCTCTTGTTCCTCTTTAGGCTACCAAAATCGTATTATCCGAGGATTCTTGTAATCGTTGCTTAACTGTACAAATTTTACTTTTTATTTATTTCCTTCCTAATGCCCAGTGTAGCAAATGAAGTGCCAGTTTTCAGTTAACATCGAACAAAACGGTTGCCATCCGCAATCGTCCCATAAACCAAATTTATTAGCGGTAATTAATTCACCAAATATGACTTTCCAAAAATGAATACCTCCAATAGTTTGGTTATTTACTTTTAATAAGTTCCAAGTTTTATTTATTTTTTTCTTCACTTCATTATTATTATTAAAATAATAATATTATCAATTCATTTGTTTAGCCTAATATCTGCACTATACTAAGTTTATATAATATATAGTTTTGTGTATATAATTATGTTTTACTGATGCTGAGGTTTTTAATTGTTGTTTATTTGTTGGTTGTATTGATGCTTTGTTGTGTTTTTGTTTTATTTCAAATTTTGCAGCTTTCTTTGCTGTGAGTGTAGTTCAAAGAATTGTTATGGCTTTCAAAGCTTTGAATTCTTATTTTTTAAACAATTTGCATTTGCTTGCAATTGCTTAAATATTGCGCAGACTGCTTAAAAGTTTATTAGTATACTTTCGGCGTCTTTATGTTAAGAAAGCGAGCGAACGATTGGCTGATAAGTTCTGCTTCTTCAATTTCATTCGTAAGCATTTGAATGTTTTCTCACACATGCATAATTGAGTGAAAAAATAAATTTGTATTCGAATAATTATTGCAATAAAAAAAGGTTGTGATGAAAAAATTAGTTCTTACGAATATCTCGCATGTGCCTGCCACAAGATTTTTTATAACTTACAACCCAGTCTATAAAAATTAGAATATATATTTTTAACAAACACTCGCTTTCAAACATGTTTTGCGATGTATTTACTTATAGTTTCAGCCTCATTGCGTAAGACGTAAATTAGGCTAAATTGTACGACTCGCCAACATAGGCATTGTTGTTGTTGTTGTTGTAACAGCATACAAACTCCCCAAAGACTTTTTGGGGAGTGTTGCTGGAGTGACTACTGGGCATTGTCTACTGTCATGCTGAAAAATATAAACGACGAAAATCGTCGAAAACTATGCAGAAAACATGAAATTTTCTATACTCTCGACAAACGACTTGCCTTCGATACGACTCTCGCAATGAGGCTCTTTGTTTTCTATCTATAGTAATATTTTTAGCAGAATTGCCTTAACGGAAAGGTATTTCAAGACGATGACTTCATTTAATGCAAAAACTTAAATACGCCAGCTAATTTTATGAGTCAATCAATTTCATTTTATATTTCGGGCGTTTTTCATAATTTAAACGAATATTTCAATGCTTTCGCTTCAGTTCTCTTCTTCAAATTGTCAATAGTTAGGATGGGCGTTCCATTCCATTGTAGTTTTCAACAAAAAAAAAATGCGCATATACATACAGTACTTATGTATATTTGCGATGAAATCTTAGCGACTAGTAATAAAGTACGCCTGAGGTCCGATTATGAAAGATCTGAAATAGAAAATAAAAGATAGAACTATATAACGAACTGTATTAATACATAAATACATAGCTATCTATTTATAAACTTATCAGTTTTGTTAGTCTAATAATTATGAATTGTAATGTTTATTTTGGAGAGTTTGGCCTATACTGTAATAATTATAATCTAATGGTCACTAGGCTGGATTGTTTTAAGGATGTTAAATGATTTATTTCAATTGTATGTGGTTCTAATAAGTATTCGATTTATATCAATAATTTGTCAAAAATCATTTAAAACGGATGTACATAATTAAAGATGCCTGAGTGACCTACAATACCTAGTGCCTAAAGGTATGCTACATCCTCAATGAACTAGTATCAAACCGGATATGAAAAACATACATATACACATACCAGTGCTAAAAAGCTGTATATGAACAGATAAAATTATAGTTTAAAAAACTAAAACCTCCCTATTATAATTGCCATTCGTACTGTCATCAGGTATGTAACATGAGAATAGAAATCGCTGCATCTTTTAGGCGCATCAATATTACATAGTTACATCCCGAGTTAATAAAAGGAAGGTAATAATAAAAGGAAGGTAAAAACATGAGCAATAGAAACACTGAGATCGGTTGGATCACTGTTTGTAGTTCAAATGCAAAAGTTCGCCATAAACAACTGAAGAAATAAATTAAGAAAATTAATATTCTGCTTATACACATTTTAAGGCATTTTCCAGGTGTAAGTTATTATATTATTGTATTTAACACTGGCTGTCTTCTTAAACGCATAAACGCAAAGCATCAGTCTCATTTATTTCCAAATCATGACATATCAATATGTCCAATATGTGAAATCATACAAAATGCCAATTTTTAATATAATACTCTTTTCACCTTTAGTTAAAAAATAATAGGCTGATGCTTTGCATTAATGCGTTTAAGAAGATAGCAACAAAATAAGAATCACGATGCTTGTTTAGAAACAATACCATTAACACTATTTTTACATACGTAAAAATTAAAAGGGTCGCTCGTTTTGGCAATTTTTGAATATTTCTTTTGTTTTTATTGCTGCCTTATTATTTAATACAAACCATATAAATCCAAATTTCCAGTTTTGTGCAAAAATTATAAAAAATCGGCAAAGTTTCACCAAAATTTCAAACTTCTTAATCAGAATCTTTAGAAAAAACTTTGGTATGCAGTTTTGTAGCACGTAGGTTGGAAAACTATTCTATATGGAAGAAAAAGCGTTAATTTATCGACAAAAAAAATGTCAAAACGCAACTTGAAAGCTGCTGTTTATTTTACTAAAATTTAATGGGCTTCGATTTTTTCTAAGAGTTTCGATTTAAAATTCTGAAACTTGGCAGAATTTATTGTACTAAAAATTAATGAGCTACAATTCTTTCTAAAGATTCTGATTAAAAAATTTGAAATTTGTTGAAACCTTGCAGAATTTTTATAATTTCTGCACAAATTTTGAAATTTTTATTTGTATGCTTTTTGTTAGATAAGAAGCTATCTTTACTTTTATAAATAAAAAAAGTAATAAGCATTAAACAAATACGCCAAAATTTTACGACCCTATTATCATGTTCGACACTGTAAATATGTAGGTAAATGCAACTAAAATTTATACTCACAGCTTGGCGTGGCTTCATAGCGCCTCTGTATCTGATCGTAAGTGAATTTTACAAACGCATCATACTGCTCGGCGAGCTTCGTAGTCAGCACAGCATTGTATTTTTCACGTATCTCATCTTCTCGCTCCTTCAGCATACGTTCGCATATCAATTGCACCTGTTTAAATGTAAAAAGCGCCTTCTCCGGGTTACGCACCAAGCTCGGTGGGGTGTCTGGACGACGTGGACTTTCGGCGCCCATTTCGGAACCACTAGATTCTGAGTCCTGTTGCATACCGTCTATGGTGGACGATGAAAATTGAAGACGTTTACAGCGGTGCAGTCGTTTGATTTCATCTCGAATATCCTGAGCCATTTTATCTAATTCATAAAATTGAATACGGAGAGAAGCATTAGTTCTTTGTCTTTTTGAAAAGCCACTTTATACTTACCTGGAGAAATTTTTGACAGATTGGCCTCTGTGAATGGATTGGGCTGTGGTTCCTTAGAAATGCGGCTACCGCTGGGACTATGAATGTTTTCGTAGGAAGTGATGGCAGCTGCAGATGAGCGCAATGGTGATGATCCATTTCCTGATGAATGCCCGAGCGGATTGCAACGTCTGCGTTTCGAAGGCCGTTGATTTAACGCTTCCCAGTCTAAAGTACGTTTGAGTGTTGCACATGCCATTTTTTGTTAATAATAGCTTAGTAATAGTTGTGCCGTCTTGAATATGATGTATTATATGCTTAAAGTCACGAAACGAAAACTAAAATTAAAAAAATTTTTATGTATTTAATAATTAAAAATTTAAGCCACAAAATTTTTTTTTAAATCAATGTGTGCAATAGGCTACAGAACTGAATCAACTGATTTAGATTAAAAATGTTCACAGGTAAAGGAATACAATGAAAGCAAAATAACGCACTAAAAGGCACCGCACCTGGCAGCGTGGTTGGTTAGAGGATGCATTCGTGTGTACATATGTATACATATATATGTGCATGCGTATATACTTATGTCTCAGAATATACAGAATCGCCAGAATTCCATAGGAATTCAAAGAAATGTGGGAGAAAGTAAAATACAAGGGATGACTTAAAAACTCAAATAACGTCCACATAAATGGCAAGCTACCTGCAGAAAGGGTCAGTAATAGTCAAGAATAAGAGAACATAGCAATTCGCTCAGTGGTGGTAACAATGCTAGAAAGATCAGCACATAGACATTTACAGCAGTGATCACGAAAATTGTAGCACGACGTATTGACAACTTTTGACAATTTAATTTCCTTGCATTTAATTTTGATTATTTCCTTATAAAAATATAGTTAGTTCTACAACAAAAATCATACAAATTAAAGTTCCAAACTTTCTACAAAAATTGTAAAAATTAAACGAATTTTCACCAAAATATCAAACTTTTTTTCATTAAATAAGATGAGAGAATTTGTTTAAAAAATTAATAAATTTTTGATTTTTACTTGATCTTGTAGTGCGTTCATGTAATACCCCTTTTGACTAATACCCCTATTAAAAACAAGAAAATATATTTGTCAATACGTCACACTGCTATTTTCGTGGACATTGCTGTACATACAAAAGTACATATGTACATCTACATATGTATGTATGTATATATATTTAAGATCAAATGAAGGAACTGCTGCACACTTTTGTTTTTCTCTTGAAGCAGTTTTCCAAACTGAGCCCTTTATAATTTTGTAGCAGTTGTATTTACATTATATATCGTTGTTTAAAGTACAAAACCACGTATCAACAAAATGCAAAACCGCGTATGTTAGGTTGCATAAATTATTTTCTAGAGAAAAACACTCACATTTCAAAATATTGTTTCTCACCTACAAAATCTTGGCCTCACATACGAGGTTTTGCATTTTCTTGATACGCGGTTTTGTACTTTAAACGACGATATGTACATATGTACATGCACATAGCATATATATGTATGCTAAAAATGAACTACAGTAGCAACTCGCCTTTGTGGGCTAACTCAGACCAAACGGGTTTGTCTATACCTGCTTACCCCACAAGAATTGTGTGATGGAAACTAACACATTCTCATTTACCTTACTAACACATATACAAATTTTGCGTTGGTTAAAAAGAGACAACTAAATAATGCCATAAGTCGGAGGAAGACGGAACACAAATGTTTACATCAGATTTTTCACACTGCCCTTTAGAGTTTGATAGAAACTTGTAGGTAGCCAGTGACAGAAATCTCTATCAGTCTTGGCACTCAAATGATTTGTCAAATGATAGTCACTGTTCTTGCAGGGTAGTTATCCCTTGGCTTAGAAGGAAAATTTCAAAACATCAAGACTACGTCCCTACAAGAATTGTGTGATGGAAACTAACACATTCTCATTTATCTTACTAACACATTTGCAAATTTTGCGTTGGTTAAAAAGAGACCAATATATAAGGCCATAAGTTGGAAGAAGACGGAAGATCATATGTACACAAATGTTTACATCAGATTTTTCACACTGCCCTTTAGAATGTGATAGAAACTTGTAGGTAGCCAGTGACAGAAATCTCTATCAGCCTTGCCAGTCAAATGATTTGTCAAATGATGGTCACTGTTCTTGCAGGGGTATCTTTAATAAATTTCTATGAATACCAGATAATTTTAATTTTACGCATTTCATGTTATGTACTATGATCAAAGCTAAATCCAAAGCCACTACTTCTTTTGCTTATTTTACAAAATAGTATGTACAAAAATAATTTTCTTGTATTTCCTTTTTTACTTGTAAAACGATAACACAATGGCGGTATCATTGAGAATTGTGAGGGAATTGTCAGGTACCAAGTATTTTTTGGTATACCTACGTTGCCATTGTATCCACATAAAACAGCAAACGCACGTAACTTGCACGTTCGCCTCGGAAATTAAATGCGGCGAGTTTCAAGCAAGAACATAGTGCGTCGGCTTTATCTACTATCAATGCATATGAAAAACATATCATAATAGCCGAGCCGGTAATGACTTTGTAGAGGAACAACTAATCATTTTGATTTATCCTGTGATATTGCTTGAACCTTTGTAAAGCTCTTTTCTTCGTGTTAAACATTTCTTATAATGGAACTTATTTACTTATTTTTTGAAAAACTAAAGGGTCCTTTATAGATTTTGCGAAAAAAGGATTTTATTGTTACATTAACCGACGAAGAATTGCGTACCATTTGCCGTTTTCTCTCAAAGTGTTTACCGCTGGTAAGCCGAAATAAAGTTTGACGTTCAAAAACGAATTAATAAACTTAAAATAAAATCTGTGGAAAAGAAAGGATCATTTTATTTTTCAAAAAACCGGTGCGACAGTTATTATTTTACACCCTGTATGTAAGTACCCGTAGTGTGGTATAGACCTGCAAAATTATCGATGGTTGAACTGTTCGATAGTTTTGGGCCTCACCATTCGATAGTATCGGTACTATCTTAAGAAAAACGAGTAAAAAAGTCTAAGTTCGGGGAAAGCCGAACACTAACTACCCAGCGAACGTATTAAATATATTTTTTCACCTTGTTGTTGGCGCAGTTATTGTCCAATTTATTTTTAATTTTCATCTGTTTGGTGTTTTGCCAAGACCAACACAACTGACTGGAAATTGGTGTAGAGCGGTAACTAAGATATACATATGTAATCATAAGTGGGCGTGGCTACGCCCACTTTCCAAAAATTTACAATATTCTTACTTTTCACCTAAAAATCATTGTAAATGTCAATTTTGAGCGAATAAGCTTCAGTAGTTACTTAAATATCGCAGTTTTCTTATTTCTGAAAACTACCGTTATATGGGAGGAAGGTGTGGTTATTGTCAGATTTTGCTCATTTTCAATACAATCCGTCCTAGGCTCAAAAAAATACGCGTACCAAGTGCACAGACGGACGGACGGACGGATGGACAGACAGTCACCGCTTAATCGATTTCTTTCTTCATTCTGAGCATTCGTTTTGGCTGTTATAAAAATATCAGGTGCCAACTACTGGCTCGGGTATAAAAATATCAGGTCCCTACTACTGCACTAATTATGTTTAATAGGGTTATATTAGTAGAAAAAACATGAATGCTAGTTTTAAACACCATTTTAGTGTCCCTTATTGAAAATTACAAAATAAGTTACTTTAAACAATTCATTTAATTTCATTAGAAAGTTAGATGTATGAGATAAGGCTTTCGCAATTGTCAGCCAAAAGTGTAAAAAAGCCTTAATACGGCGACAAAAAGATAAATAGAGACAGGACATTTTACCAAGTTTTGGCTAATAATGTTTTTTTTTTTTTAATTGAATGTTTATTATCTTTTACGAAAGTATAGTTCGTTATCTAACTAAAACCATGCAAGTCCAAATTTCAAACATCTAAAAAAAATTAGAAAAATTATTTTGACGACTGTGGTTGTGGCCAGTTTAGATTTATTTCTATTATATAGGTTTTTCCTCTTCTATTATGCCAAACTCATAAAAAATTCATGATGTCGCTGCCGCGTTCAGAAAAATCATGTCGCCATCGACAAAGCGTTTTGATAATGAAGATAACAAATTGGAAGCTGTGGCTTTACGAGTCGTTTCAAGGTGTTCAGCACTTTAAAGTTTACGCCGATGGGCTTTGTGGCAGCGTCATCGGCAACTTTAAAATGAAACGACGACGCCAGCGCGTCGACAACGCCAACACAATTGTCCACAACACGGATTCCAAAGAGCATAGGAAACCATGAAGCAGTCATCTGGTCAGCGTTAGGCATTCGCCACTCTAATACTATGTTTACATATAAATAGATTATCCTCATTTTCGAGCTTAGCTCCCTAACCTGTAATTAGAAAAGGAAATAAGTCATCGTTAATCTGTAATTATAAAATAATCTAAAATTAAACCGATAACTTTTCGGTGTCCAACCGAGTTTTATCGATTATTTTTGCGAAGAGGAGAAATGCCAAATGAAAAAGTAAACAAAAATGGACGCTAGTAAGGAAAAGAGTAAAAAGTATTTTTAAACAAATATTAAGTTAAAATATATTTAAATTGCTTGATATAGCAGAAAAAAGTGATCACTGTGGCACAGATCAGAGTTTTAACTTTTCCTTGAGATATGAGAATGACACAACAAATTTTACAGCTAATAATCTGAGATTTGCATGGGTAAACGAGGTGATTAAAATACGAACTTTGATTGAGATTATATTTATAGGTAAATATACTTTAATTCAGATTATAACTATGTTTAATCCGTTATTGAATTAGTTTTAAATTTAATGAATAAATGAAATAAATAAATTTGAACTAAAATATTAAATGCATTTAGCTTTAGAATACTTAAACTTGATTTTCGGATTTTAGATTGGCCACCATCTTGATCCACTTTTTCCACCAGAACGGGCCTTTATGACCCAGTTTTACTAAGGGTTGCCGAAAACGTAAATATGTACATTCATAAATATTCGTTGAATTAAAGCGGGAAGTTTTGTATATAAAGCGTAGTGAAAAGTAATACAAAATATCACCAAAAATAACCCACCAAGCAAAACATGAGAAATAGGCAACAATCGTCAATGGCAACCAATTGGCGACTCGTCGATTTATTGACATGGTGAGAAATCGGCAACATCATTTCTTTCATGTAATTTTAGTAATATGTTTTCAATAAAAATCAAACTGATGAATTTTGCATCAACATCTAATGTATGCCAAAGATGGGATTAACCAAATTTTAAATTGTAATTTTTTAATCAAAAATAAATTAA